ACACAAAATTCCAAAATTGAGGCCCTGCAAATTTCTGTCATATAAGCTAATCGGGCCACAGTGGGCCGCACATCGGGTGCGACATTGTTCAAACATTAACAAACGCGCACAAAACAAAAAAATATTTGACACACAAGGGCAAATCTATTAGGGATCCGCGCTAAGCCAGTGAGGCATCAATATTCTACTGTGCCGCGCATGCGATATTTTTTTCGAGCATGACGTGACGTGTAGAGTCGTGAATTAGCGGGAATGTTTTTGCAGTAAATTCATTTGTGAGAAATTTTATAACCACAACCGGCAGAGATCTAAAATATTTGTTGTACTTAAGTTAATACAAATTTTTGTGCGGCTATAAGTGTACTTTGCTGCAATTTTAAACATATTCATTTCCCAAAATAAATTTCCATAGTTTTCATTATATGTTTTTCTTTCAAGCGATTCGGGAATGGCGATAAGTTTAAGGCTTGACGTTTTTGGGGGGCGTAAATGCGGTAGAGACAAAACCGCCATTCTTAAAGCGAGCGTACAGACCAAACTCAAGAGTCAAAGGTTTTGAGTCCCCCGACGCACGAAAACTAACGCGAAAAACACACGGTAACCAAATATCGTCAGGAGGGGGTGCGATTTTGATTTGGGAAGATTCTGATTGGCTATGCGACGGAACAAGCGAAGCCTCTTCCCCCCGCCACACCAAGACCCAAAGCTTTTGCTTTTTACTCTCTACTCGGTGGCCATGGCTCCTTCCCGTCCATTCTTGCTCCCTAACACAGCGCTTACCTCCTATTTCGTCATTCACTGGAAAGGTGCGGCTTATTAGTAACGTTTACACATTCCCATAATCCTGTGCGCGACAGCTACCTGCCGCATCTCCGTTACTTCACGCGACCAGCGATTTCGTACCCGATCGGCCACTGTGCTGCATGTCACGCTATCATTTCAGCGCTCGCCACGCGAACACCTGATTAGCGAGCCCTAAGATATTTCCTCGCCAGTGCGCCCAAATATCTCGCCCGTCGCCTCACTTCCCACTCCCCGCTCCTCGCAGCAGCTGCAAGAGCGCTGCCCCGCTTTCCCACTCATCCGCATTCCCCGTTTCCCGCCCCGCCCGCTGCATCTGCCTGCATTCGCCTCCCCGCTTTTCTGCACTCAAGCTGCCCCTGCTCTCCCGCTTCCCGGATCCCGCTTCCTGCTCTCTCGATTCCCACTTCCCCGATTCCACTTTCCTCCCAACCCGCTTTCCCGCATTCCCGCTTTCCCGCTTCTCCGCTTTCCCCCAGCACCCATTCTCACCCCCTTTCCCATCCTCGCCGGCCCTCCCATGACTTCCCGTCGCCAATTCCCTCCCTTCCTATCCCCGCGCCCATCCCTTCCTATCCCCGCGCCCATCCCTTCCTATCCCCGCGCCCATCCCTTCCTATCCCCGCGCCCATCCCTTCCTATCCCCGCGCCCATCCCTTCCTATCCCCGCGCCCATCCCTTCCTATCCCGCGCCCATCCCTTCCTATCCTCGCGCCCATCCCTTCCTATCCCCGCGCCCATCCCTTCCTATCCCCGCGCCCATCCCTTCCTATCCCCGCGCCCATCCCTTCCTATCCCCGCGCCCATCCCTTCCTATCCCCGCGCCCATCCCTTCCTATCCCCGCGCCCATCCCTTCCTATCCCCGCGCCCATCCCTTCCTATCCCCGCGCCCATCCCTTCCTATCCCCGCGCCCATCCCTCCTATCCTCGCTCCCATCCCTTCCTATCCCCGCGCCCATCCCTTCCTATCCCCTCGCCCATCCCTTCCTATCCCCGCGCCCATCCCTTCCTATCCCCGCGCCCATCCCTTCCTATCCCCGCGCCCATCCCTTCCTATCCCCGCGCCCATCCCTCCTATCCTCGCGCCCATCCCTTCCTATCCCCGCGCCCATCCCTTCCTATCCCCTCGCCTATCCCTTTGCGTAGCTCATCGGTCCATTCCCTCACTCAAGCTCTTGCCCTGTCCGCCCGCCCCTTCCCCTGTTATCCCTCCCAACCTTCCCACCATATCCCTATATCCCCTGTTATCCTCACACTGCCCCTCTCTCTCTCCCGCGTTCTGCCCCTCTCTCTCTCCTCCGCAGCCCAACTCACTCTCCCCCGCTCTGCGCACCTCTCTCCCCTCCCACCGGCTACCTCTCTCACGCCTACTCCACGTCACCATTCCCCCGACTCCCCTCCCTCGTTACCCTTGCTCTGCCCACCTCTATCCCCCCAGCTCTTCCAAAGGTGGGCTCTGGTGGGGGGCCAGGTGGGTTCTGGTGTGGGGGGAGGTGGGCTCTGGTGGGGCGGGAGGTGGACTCTGGTTGGGGGAGGGGTGAGCTCTGGTGGGGGGGAAAGGAGGGCTCTGGTGGGGGGGAAAGGAGGGCTCTGGCGGGGGGGAAAGGAGGGCTCTGGTGGGGGGGAAAGGTGGGCTCTGGTGGGGGGGAAAGGAGGGCTCTTGTTGGGGGGAAAGGAGGGCTCTGGTGGGGGGAAAGGAGGGCTCTGGGAGGGGGGGAAGGAGGGCTATGGGAGGGGGGAAAGGAGGGCTATGGGAGGGGGGAAGGAGGGCTATGGGAGAAGGGGAAGCAGGGCTATGGGAGGGGGGGAAGGAGGGGCATGGCAGCGGGGGAAAGGAGGTTCTTGGGAGGGGGGGAGAAGTAGGGGTCTGGATGGGAGGGAGGCGGGTTTTCTCTCTCGCGCCCCCCCCCCCCTATCTCTCTCTATCGATCTCTCTCTCTCTCTCTCTCTCTCTCTCTCTCTCTCTCTCTCTCTCTCTCTCTCTCTCTCTCTCTCTCTCTCTCTCTCTCTCTTTCTCTCTTTCTTTTTCTCTCCGCCTCTCTCTCTCTGGCCCCCTCCACTCACTCCTCCAAATGCCCTTCTCACTCTGGTTTCTTATTTGCGACCGTCCAACTGTCCCCCTCCCCCCCCCCCCCCCCCCCCCCCCCCTCTCTCCCCCCTCTTATTGTCGTACCCACCGCTTCCAACGCCACCCCTCATGATCCCCGCACCTATCCCTTCCTAAAACCATTCCGTCGTACCTCCTGCTCCCACTCCGTCTTACCCCCTGCTCCCACTCAGTGCTGTGAGGGGGGAAGCACAGTGCTGTGAGGGGGGAAGCACAGTGCTGTGAGGGGGGAAGCACAGTGCTGTGACGGGGGAAGCACAGTGCTGTGAGGGGGGAAGCACAGTGCTGTGAGGGGGGAAGCACAGTGCTGTGAGGGGGGAAGCACAGTGCTGTGAGGGGGGAAGCACAGTGCTGTGACGGGGGAAGCACAGTGCTGTGAGGGGGGAAGCACAGTGCTGTGACGGGGGAAGCACAGTGCTGTGAGGGGGGAAGCACAGTGCTGTGAGGGGGGAAGCACAGTGCTGTGAGGGGGGAAGCACAGTGCTGTGAGGGGGGAAGCACAGTGCTGTGACGGGGGAAGCACAGTGCTGTGAGGGGGGAAGCACAGTGCTGTGACGTGGGAAGCATATTGCTGAGAGGGGGGAAGCATAGCTCTGTGAGGGGGGAAGCATAGCACTGTGCTCCTCTCCCCGTGTTTTTCGGGAGGGGTAGGCGGGCTCTGGTGGGGGGGAGAGGTGACATCTGGTGGGGGTTTCCTTGGTCGTGCTGCATTGTGTGTCTTGCTTCTTGCCTAATAAAAATGACAATCGCGCCCTTCTCGTTTGTGTACGTTTAAAAACCCTGACTTTGCACTCAGTGGGAACTAGATCCCTGATATTGTTTAAATGTTGTCCTGTTTTTGTGTAAACGTAGATGCGTTGTGGTGGTTTCTACGTTTCTACGTTTTCACGAGCTTCAGCAACACTGTAGGTGCTTTTCTCCGTAAATGAGTTTTACTGTTTCAATTTGTCTGAACAGTGCTTTCGCGTGTTCGACGGGCAGCGTCGCCCGCTGTACCCTTGCGACCTCGCCAGTTTTGGCGAGATCATTAACAGCCGTCGCGAGACCCCTAGCCTTTCGCGTGGGGCCCGCCCCGTTTTTGCGACACTTGTGCCCCTCGCGATTTTCGCGACCCCCAACTCAAGATTCAAAGCCTTTGAATCTTGAGTTTGGTCTGTACGCTCGCTTTAAGCTTCACGGAACGCACTACACTCTACCACGAAAGTATGTGTTTCGAAACAAAATCGTATTTTCTTGTTTCTCGAATAACTTGTATCCAATAAAATTAAATTTGGGTATATGACGTTTTTTTCGCTCGAACTGCGCCTGGAGCTGGGGAGAAATTTCGCGCCTGCCACAATGATGACGAAATTGGGCTGGCGCAAGCGGGAAAACGTTCCTAGACGGGCGGGGGTTACTTTTACTGACCATTTGTGGAACTTTTTTCCTACAGTTTCTGACTAACCGTGGAACCCGACTGATGAAACATGTTGCGAACTCGCTAATTCTGATTGTTTCTATTGCGTCACTGACCGTACATATTATCGAGGCCCCTAATACTGAGCGCCGATGTACTTTCCCTTTATTGTTTTATTTTCTGCCACCCAACAGTTCTCCCCTGGCGATCGTTTCTTCTCGCAAAAAATCACCAGAGTCATCCGTAACTGCTTCGCAACTTTCGGACGGAGACAGGCGACAACCGCTGCCAGGGTGCTCCTGACGACCTGGGTAAGTTTGCCTGTCGTGGTATCGCCGTCCACACGCTCCAAGCCCCTGTTGTCTCCGCGGTGATTGGCCATTTCCTTTGCATACATTTGCGGAGTCCCCTGAAATGCTTCGAATCGGGCCCCCGGTTTCTTGGAGGAAGAAAATTTCTGAATTCCCTCCTGAAGCATCGTGACCTCCACCACCAGGAATCGCACTAGTTCGCACTTAACATACTTGTAGACTACGGAACCTTTCTGAGTGACGCATTAGGTGAATTCGGACCACACGCTAGGCACGGTGGGTCCAGCAGAAACGCCATGCAGCGCAGACTGCATGGTTTCTGTTCAACTCGAGGGAGGTACTATAACGCAGCCTTGCTTGCCACCTGAAACTAACCTGCCGACCATTTCCGCCCTGGAAACGGCCTGCTTATTGATAACCACTATGTCGTGTGGTGTATCGTAAGCCGAGCTCTGACTGGCCTAACTCTCGGCGCTGCGGCGCCGATGGATGTGGTACGGGTACATAAGCTTCTCTCGATGGCGAACCTATCATTCAGTTAACCAGCTCGATCAAACAGCTGCAGCATTCGCCGCATTCCCCTGAGAAGAATCAGCACTTTCTCCTGAGTTGAGAGTTCCGTCGCCTGGCATTGACCCACTCCTAAACAGGCCCTCCTGATCTCTTCCCCAGTTCTCTCAGAGCCTCGCATTCACTCGAACGTACGACAATGGCGCGCAGCAGCAGCAGCAGCAGCAGCCGCAGCAGCGGCCGCACCGGATCCGCGGTAACCCTCTCCCTCTCCCTCCTCCTCCTCCTCGCCGTCTCCATCCTCCTCCCCGTGTCCCGCGCCGACGGCTCATCATCCAACGGCTCATCATCCAGCGGCTCATCATCCGACGGTCCGGACGGCCCGAAGAAGGTGGGCAAATCCGCGGGGTCGATCACGAGCGTGGTGAACAACCCGAAGCCCGACGGGCAGGGCGAGCAGGACGACGGCTTCCGCGCGGACGTCCCCAAGGTCGTGCTCGCGCAGGAAGAGCCTGGGGCGACGTTCGTCGACACGACGCAGGACTCCGTCGCAATTCCCGATGTGAAGAAGGCCGGGTGGAACGCCATGAAGTGCCCCGCGCATCTGCCGGTGCCCGGGCAGGGCGCGTGCACGCCTGCGAACTGCAGCAAGGGCGGGATCCCCGCCAAGTGGAAGACGTCGAATCTGCTGAAGCATAAGCTGGGGATCGAGGTGTACGTTAAGGGGAATCCGTTGACGGTCAAGAAGGCGTCGCCGCAGACGTGCTGTAATACGTGCGCGGCCACCCCGAGGTGCACGTACTGGCAGTACATCCCCGACATCACCATCGACGGCACCAAGTGAGTGCGGGGCGGTCTCGGAGAGAACAACGCAGTGTCTCCGCTGGGCGTGGCGGAACTGCCGCCTTTCACTGCATTTTGGATTTCAATCCTCGCGTGGGCGTTGCCGCAGTGTGCCGCATTCCCTCGCGGCGTGCCTGTATCTCGTAGTAGTACTAGCCCCTTTCTCATCTCGTATCATTTCCGTGTCGTGCTGTGTCCCACGGCGGCAGGACCCCCGGCGCGTGCTTCCTGGTGCACGACGAGATTGACTACACGTGCGGGCAGCTCATTGCGCAGTATGCCACGGAGAGCAAGCCCGTGCACCTGCAGGTTCGTCCGTGTGCCTTCCCTGCTCTCCCTACCTGCCTTCCCTGCTCTCCCTGCCTGCCTTCCCTGCTCTCCCTACCTGCCTTCCCTGCTCTCCCTGCCTGCCTCCCTGCTCTCCCTACCTGCCTTCCCTGCTCTTCCTACCTGCCTTCCCTGCTTTCCCTACCTGCCTTCCCTGCTCTCCCTACCTGCCTTCCCTGCTCTCCCTGCCTGCCTTCCCTGCTCTCCCTACCTGCCTTCCCTGCTCTCCCTACCTGCCTTCCCTGCTCTCCCTACCTGCCTTCCCTGCTCTCCCTGCCTGCCTTCCCTGCCCTCCCTTCCTGTTTTTGGTCAAGTACGAGCCGAGCTATCAGTGTCAAATGCAAGTTGCAGCCGTCCGGGATCCACACTGCATTACTCTTCATGAGCGTCCTCTCCCAAGTCTCCCTCCCCAAAGTATGCTCTCACGGCAGTCCCCCTGAACTTTTCTGCTCCCTCCAAATTTACGCTTCTTCTCCGTCTGATCAACCCTCCCAACCGCTTCCAACCCATCTGCAGGTCCGCACCGGCGGGGAGTGCAACGACGCACCCGGGATCCTCAACGACCCGCACCTGGTGGGCGCGCACGGCACGCACTTCGACTTCAATGGCCGCCCCGACCGCTCCTTCTGCCTGCTCACTGACCGTGACCTGCACGTGAACATGCTGCTCCGGGGGTACTACGATGAGCGCACCGAGGGCGCAGCTCTCGTGGTGGACGGCAAGGCAGTTCACACGTGGATCAAGTAAGGAGAGGCCAGGGTTGTTCGAGCTTGTTCTTTCTGCACACCACTCGCTATTTGTAGAAAGCATTGCATTTTCTAGCTCCCTCTGTTCTTCTCCCCTCACCTCTCCCCGCGTCCTCAATCCATCCCCTTTATCCCCTATCCCACACCCACCCCATCCGCGTCTATGGCATGGCAACAGGGAGGTCGGCATCGTGTGGACGGCCAATGGCGTGGACCACAAGGTGCGCCTGGCAGCGCGCAGCGGCAAGCAGCAGGAGCGCGGTGACGGCTTCATGAAGACAATCGAGATCGACGGGTCCACCATCCGCCGCATGGCCCTCGGGGACTCCGTCTCCGCTACAGGCGGCCTCACTATCACCTTCAAGGATCTCGAGCAGGAGGGCCCGTTCGACGTGGACTACTACACTCTCACAATCGACGGACTCGTGTCCCTTGACCTGCGCCTGCGCATCGCCAACCCGAAGCTGCAGACCGCCACCGATGCTGAGGCGCATATTAACGTGGGGATCGTGGAGCTGGAGCACACGGACGAGATCCATGGCGTGCTGGGGCAGACGTACCGCGAGGACCACGCGCAGCGCGCCGAGGATTTCCAGAAGCTGATTGCGTTGCTGCACCATCCGATCTCGGCTGATGGGGCGAGCGGGCAGGGCTTCCTGGACGGAACCCCGCGGTCGTACGAGAGCAGCTCTGTGCTCTCTGTGGACTGCGCTCACACCACGTTCGCCCGTGCTAAGGAGCTCAGCCCGGTGGCTGACTATGGCATCTAGAGGGGGTGGTGAGCAGTGGACGGCTGAGGCTGTTCTGGAGACAGATGCTGTGATGTGAGAGGGCATCCATCCAGCCATGGGTGGAATGTTCTCCTGTGCAAGGTGCAAGGTGCTGGAGCAAGTCATTATACTTATGACACATATACTCTACTGCACTTTCCTTTAGGTGGGCTGCTTGTTTTTTTCTTTTTGCTTGTGTTCATTTAGTGGGCTGTGGTGGGTGGGCTGCGAAATTTTCAGTCCTGGCTGTATTATATCCCGTCAGTAATATATGTCAAATTATATATTATACATAATTGTTTATGCTTGGTAGGTTTGCGACATTCCTGAATCCCACTGTAGAGGGGACAACCCCTTGTATCTCGTTCTCTTCTAGTCCAACACTCTTTCCTCTCGTAACTTTCTCCTAGCACCTAAACCCTCGCGCCATTTCCATTGCTCATCTCCTTATCTAGCTTGTTTAACAATATATCCATTGTTTCAATTCAAATATATGTTAGAAGGATAGGTTAGGGCCCAGGAACCTGCGTGCAACACTGTCTCAGAGGACAATGAAATGGATGATGAGGTGATGTTTAGGGTGAATGCCTAGGAACTAGTATCAGAAGCAGAAATGTGAAGTTCATTATTGATCGCCTTGCCCGTCTCTTTCGCCAAGATCAGAAGTGAGGGCAGCCCATGTTAGAAGACTAACTTAGCTAGGAAGGAAAGGCGGCCATGAAATGGCGTGAGGGTTTAGGAGCTAGGAGAAGAAAGTCGACAGAGCAGTTGACGAGAGATAAGAGATAAAATAGAAGAGTGAGAGGCATACAAGGAGAAAGTTGTACCCTCTACAGTAGAATTCAGTAACACCTATCAAGCCTACAATTATATAACAAATATAATTTAACACACCCCCTAGGCTTGGTAGTGGCAAGCCCACACACACCCACACCCCCAAACCTAGCACCCCCATACTCAGTAGCAGCGACAGCTACTTCAGCACGGTCAAACCCACGGCGCGTGAGGCGGGGCGACGTCGACAACGAGGACATCGGCTGCAACAGCGGCGACGGCGGCAGCGTCGACAGCGGCGGCGCCAACGGCGTGCGGTGGCGTGTCCAGCGGCACCGGCTGCGGCGATGGCGGCTTCGACGACAGCTGCCGGCGGCGGCGGAGCTCGCAGCACTCGGCGGCGTGGCCGGGCTCCACGACGGAGGGACGGCCGGCGCACAGTAGCCGTCGGCTGCGGCAAGGAAGAGATGACGTAGGGGAAGGGGGGGGCGGGGCTTCAACAGCGGAGCCTGGGAGCGTGCCGCCCCGTGTGGCGCGCTGGCTGCATGCGGGCGTGCTGGCCAGCGCTAAGAAGAGGCGCTGGCCGCTGCCGTCCGTGCCGACCACGCGCTGTCGCGTAGACGCCGCGGCAGCACGACGGCGCCGTCACGCCGCCACAAAATTACCTCGACGCCGACGCCGCCACGACTTGACGTCGACGCTACAACAGCGCGACGCCACGGCAGCGCGTCGCGACGGCCGCGACACCACGGCGCGGCCGGCGGCACGACGACGCAGCCACAGCAGCACGACGCGGCCGCCATGGTAGCGAGAGAGAGAGAGAGAGAGAGAGAGAGAGAGAGAGAGAGAGAGAGAGAGAGAGAGAGAGAGAGAGAGAGAGAGAGAGAGAGAGAGAGAGAGAGAGAGAGAGAGAGAGAGAGAGAGAGAGAGAGAGAGAGAGAGATTAGAAGAGCGCGGCGGAAGCGTGAGGAGAAGGCCCACAAGGAACGAACAGCTCTGATTCCATGTTACAATGGCTAATTTAGCTAGGAAGGAAGGGCGACCATGAAATGGCGTGAGGGTTTAGGAGCTAGGAGCTAGGAGAGGAAAGTTGACGAGAGAAAAGAGAGAGAACTAGAACGAGAGAGGGATACAAGGAGAGGATTGTACCCTCTACAATAGAGTTCAGTAACACCTACCAAGCCTACAATTTTATAACAAATATTATTTAACACACTCCCTAGGCTTGGTAATCACAAACCCACCCCACATGCAACACCTCTAAGCCTAGCACCCCCATACCCTGCAACAGAGGTGACTGCAAGGAAGGGGGGCGCTAGGCCTTCTTGAGCGGTGGCGGGGCGGAGCCAGCTGACGTGGCGAGCTGGGACCGACGCTGCGAGCTGGGACCGACGCGGCGAGCTGGGTCCGCTGGGACCGACGCGACGAGCTGGGTCCAACGTAGCGAGCTGGGTCCGATGCGGCGAGCAGGGTCCGACACGACGAGCTGGGGAGGTGCGGCGAGCTGGAGTGCGGGCTTGCTGCCTGGGGCCTATATCAATGGGTGGCCCACTGCCGCCCGTGCGCTGACGCGACGACGGTGGCACGGCGGCACGACGAAGCCCTGAGGCACGGCGACGTGACGGGGCCAGCGCGGAGTGACTGGGCCGGCACGGATTGCCGGGGCTGCGGCGTGACGGGGCCGGCGCGGAGGGACGGGGCCAGCTCGGCGTGACGGGGCCAGCGCGGCGTGACGGGGCCAGCGTGGAGTGACGGGGCCAGCGTGGAGTGACGGGGCCAGCGCGGGGTGACGGGGCCAGCGCAACGTGACGGGGCCAGTGCGAAGGGACGGGGCCGGTGTGGAGTGACGGGGCCGACGCGGCGTGACGGGGCCAGCGCGGAGTGAGGGGGCCAACGCGGCATGACGGGGCCAGCGCGGCGTGACGGGGGGGGGGGGGGGGTACGTGGCGGAAGTGTGAGGAGGCGGCCCAACAGGGCAGACCGCCGGCTCTGAAACCATGTTAGAAGACTAACTTAGCTAGGAAGGAAGGGCTGCCATGAAATGGCGTCAGGGTTTAGGAGCTAGGAGAAGAATGTCGAGAGAGCGGTTGACGAGAGAAAAGAGAGATAGAATAGAAGAGAGAGAGGCATACAAGGAGGGAGTTGTACCCTCTACAGTAGACTACAGTAACACCTACCAAGCCTACAATTATATAACAAATATAATTTAACAGCCCAGCCCCCTCAGCTTCGCACAGAAACGTCCGATTGGCTGATCCTACAAACACATTCGTGGCAGGCCCCAACTTGCGCCAAGCAAACGCCGCGTGACGAAAGTGCGTCGACGAGCGACGCGGAGCGAAATGAAATTGTAAAAAAACGAACATCACATATGGCACGCTGCGGGCACAAAAACGAATTCTGTTGGTGCTTCTGCTGACTAAGAAATTTCCTTGCTCGTAATTGGTGCGCGCATTTCCCAGTATGGTTCGGCAAGGCGAGGATTTTGCTACTGTACTGTAAACTTGCATGTTCAAGTCTGGGCAATCGAAGAGATAATTTTGTGTTGAAAGGGGTGACGTTATCAAACTATTTAGTATGATTAGTCTGAAATGTCAGACCCTATTGTTGGCTAAACCTGATTTTCAGATTACCCATTTTTTCAATCCTGATCAATTCAGAGTACGACTTTAGGGATCTTGAAAAAATCAGACTTGTTGCTAACCCAACTCTGAGTTTCCAGAGCACAGCATGTACAAACCCTGAAACACATGTACCTACTACAAGCATGCGACACATAAAATTTCGAACACATGTACCCGAATGCTAGAGACATTCCCCACACACCCCACAACCCATCGAAAATTTCGGCCAAGTCCCCAAACGCTAGAGACATCCTCCACACACCCCACAACCCATCGAAGATTTTGGCCAAGTCCTCGAACGCTAGAGACACCCCCCGCACACCCCACAACATATCGAAAATCTCGGTTAAGTGGGGATATCAGAGACAGTCTCCCTAACACCCTGACCCCAACCAGCCCAAACTTTTGGCTACAGATATGAGGGTGAGCTGGGCACGTTGACAAACCTTCCCTGAGGGGAGGGGGAAAGCGAAATGGAGGTGAAGGGGGGAGATCGAAACAGATGGAATGGGGGAAGTGAAATAGAGTGGGAGGGGGGGATCGAAACTGGGGAGAGGGGGGCAAGCTGTGCGAATAGAGCGGTGGGAAAAAGTTTGCGCCCTTGCAGCTCCCTGGTTGGGAGATCTTGGACGTCAATCATTAGCGACAATTGAACGGTGGGGACATATCGAAACGATCGCAATCGATCGAGGCCGTCGAATTTTGATAGACTTTCAGTGGGCCAAACGGGCAGTTGACGAGAGTTTCCCTAAAAGGACGACTATTAAAAAATAGTTGTTTCGTCTCTCCCCGTCTACGGTCATCGTCGTGAGTACCCTTAAAAGATCCGCAAGTTTCTGTCTCTGGTTGTCCTCGCTGGACCCTGAGAAAATCCGACAAGCTCAAATCTGGACTCCGACGTTTCGGAGTACCGATATTTTGGCTGAAGGCCCTTCAGGCTTTTTTTTTTTTTTTTTTTTTTTTTTTTTTTTTCGGAGGGTTGGCTCAGACTGCCTTTTTTTGAAACGTCAGCCCTGGTGTACACATAGCATCGTGTGAGTCATCCAGGTTCGCACGCGAAACTCACATGCGATTGTTTTCTAGGATTGTTGATCCGCGCGTAGCAAAACGGCAAGATCAGGTACATGATTGATTCTGATGCCACTTCATAGTAATTCACCCTTAGTATTTCCTCCACTACCATACATGCAGTCACTGTCGAGATAGGTTTTGTGGCGGTGGCTGCTGGCGGCTGGTGACTGGTGCTTGCGGCAGGTGGCCGGCTGCTGGAGGCCGAAGCTGACGGTGGGCAACAGTAGTGGCGATAGGAGTAGCAGCGGCGGCTGCGGAAGCCGGGGCGGCTGTAGCGGCAGCGGCGGCAGCGGCTGCAGTGGCGGCAGCAGTGGCTGCAGTAGAGGCCGTTGCAACGACAGTGGGTGGCAGTATGCAGCAGTGGGGCGGCAGCGGGCAGTAATAGCTGCGGTAGTGGCAGTGGGTGGCATCAGCCGGCGCTGGCTGCTGGCTGCTGGCAGTGTGCTGTTGGCGGCTAGCGGCTGGCGCTGGCTGCTGGTTGCTGGCGTTAGTGGCGCTGGTGAGTCAGCAAGCTGGTTGCTGGCGCTGGCTGCTGGCGCTGCTGGCTGCTGGTGCTGGCTGATGGTGCTGGCTTGCGCTAGCGAGCTAGCTGGTGTTGGCTGCTGGCGCTGGTGAGCTGGTGCTGGCTGCTGGCTGGTGGCGCTGGTGAGCCAGTGAGCTGGCTGCTGGCTGCTAGCGCCGGCTGCTGGCGCTCCTGGCATGGAGGCGAGCAGCCAGGCTGGTGAGCAGTCGAGCGGGCAAGCAGGCGGGCAGGCAAGCTGGCGAGCAGGCGCGCAGGTGGGTTGGCGAGCAGGCGGGCTGGCGGGCAGGCAAGCAA